CTAGGGTCTTCCCCAAATTTGGTTTGGTCATAAGTGTAATTGAAAATTTATAAAAGATTTTATATTACCCCTTTAAGATCATAATTTGTTGGTCATTGAATTTTTCCTGCAGAAAAGTAAAAGTTTTGCGATGGTATAATATAAAAGAGAATCAAATCCATAAATTGAATAATAGTGATTTTTTTTTTTTTTTTACTGTTTATTAAACTTTTGTGTGCTATTTAAAGCCGTAACAAAACCGAAAGAAATAAAGCTGTGACAATTTTTTGCCTGGTTATCACAATATATGCGGTCTAACGTTGTTCTAATGGAAAATACCGTCGTTTCTTTTAAAAGTTGGGAACAGGACTTGTTCGAATCAATCTTTTGATTCTCTGTAAGGTGTTCATACGAAAGGACGCACTTTTAGTCGTGCTATATACACAGATTCATTTTCGACTGAAAACTGGTATTTAAATGCAACGTCAACCGCCATCTTCTGTCATATTGAATCCGTGTATTGTCCTTTGTTTTCTCTTAGTTGCTTTATCACTTTGCCTGGAGTGAAATGATTAAAAAAACATTCGTTACAGTCAGTGGGGATTCAGTTCGCTATATTAGTGATTTTGATCGACCACGAGTTCTTCGCTATTGAGTTCTTGAACATTAATTCTAGTTTAATGATCTTTCAGGATGTAGGCGATCATGTCTCTTCAGTTTCCTACTATTTTTTCATCTGTGAATTACGAGACGTTATTGGGGAAAATAACGAAGTGGTTTTCCTGTTGCCTTCTCCATCGTTTGGAATTCAGAGTTTTATTTCCCTTAGACGTGGCCAAGTGGTTAGAACGTTCGCTTTCTGGCCATGGAACCCGGGTTCGAATCTTACAATGGTCGATTTGTCAGGAAGATGACTCCTTGAAGTTGTCGGTCTGGAAGAGGCGATCCCAGCATGCAGCACCATTGAAAAGTGCCTGAAAACTATACCTACTATACTCATACTATATAAGTGAAATTGGTCCGATGGAACTGTCGGTAGTTATGCTAGCACAAAGTCACAAGTCATCGTGACCGAGGATTTGAGCATGCTAGCCTTGTTCAGACTGTTGATCACGCTCTCTCATAGAACTGTGGGTGATGAATACACACAAATATGTCTGAGCAGGCATCTGCAATGAGAATTATCTAGCCACCCTAGTTGACTGACATCCTCGGATTCGAATCGCTGTGTCATTTACATTACATTTTGCCACTAAGACTAGAGAGACAGTCTACTCTGCTATAGGGATATGATGGAGTTATGCCTTTCTTAAGAGCATTAGTGCGAAAGTGAATGCAACTGTCTAGATCGGGATTAGAACTCTGCTTGCTGATTCCCCGCTAATAACTTTTGCACTATAGATGAACATCGCTAGAGCAAATGATTTTAGTAGATATCCAGACGAGGCTTAAGTTAAATAAATATATGTGGGGCGGTTGTCGTAGAGCGCCTACTGTCCTTCTTTTGCGACTGTGGCAAATATCTATACGAGACAACGAATTCTACAAAGAATATGATGTCAAATTTGAGAGTAAATGAAAAATGGCAAAACAATCCTGAAATATCGCTGTTGCTCGTTTCATGTTTTAACAACGCAGGATGAATTTTTTGTATTTGTCTCCAACCTCTGCCTAACTTTAAGATTATAATATTAAAACTCTGAAAGTGGACGTTTGAAAAAATACATGTCCAGGTGTAAAGGTTAGAGAGCTTGTCTCGCTAAATCAATTATGACTGAATAGTGAGTTCGATTCTTACTGTGTGCTTCATAATTTCGGCCTTGTGCTACATCTGAGCTACGATTAGAAAATCATTTGGAAAATTTGACGTGGTATAATGGTTACTGTGCTTGTCTCCCTGTATCTATTACGACTGAATCGCGAGTACAATTCTCGCTGGGTATTTTGTACTTTCGCTCTAGTGTCACGTCTAAGCTAAGCATATCCAGGTTGCGTCAGCTTTTTGAAAACTTTTGCATGGTGCAAATAATCTTGGGAATCCTTTTCGTTTCAATGAACCCAACGGCATCTTCGATACGGAGTCGGAAGCTTTGACATGATCGAATCTGATGATGTTTATCGATTTCGTATTGATTATGTCAGACTTAAAAGAAATTTTATGGCGTTACTAGGTCGTTCAGTGACAAGTAGTCCAGTGGATTCAGATCTGGTAAGCTAGGAGGTCATGTGTTTAGGAGAACATGATCATGGAGATTGTCACGATATCCATACTTAGATTGTGTTCGCCTTATGGTGCAGTGTCCTGTTGGAAGATGTAAGATCTTATCTTTCATTGCGTACGCTGCCTATCCAGGGTTCCACAACTCTGTCCGTCATCGCCTGAGAAACAGTAGCATTGACTTTTAATCCTTGAGGAAAGAACTGATGATGCTGGCGTCTCTATCGTTGCTGACGACTCCCAGAGCCATTACAGTCGTTGGGACCCTTGGAACCTCAGTTGGGTTGTTGGGATCCTTGGAACGCCAGTCGAGTCTTTGGGATACTTGGTACGTTAGTCGGGTCGCTGGGGCCCTTGGAACGTCAATCGGGTCGTTGGGATCCTTGGAACGTCAGTCCGGTCGTTGGGGCCCTTGGAACGTCAGTCGGGTCTTTGGGATCCTTGGGACGTCAGTCGGGTCATTGGGACCCTTGGAATATCAGTCGGGTCTTTGGGATCCTTGGGACGCCAGTCGGGTCATTGAGACCCTTGGAACGTCAGTCGGGTCGTTCAGGCCCTTGGGACGTCAGTCGGGTCGTTGGGACCCTTGGGACGTCAGTCGGGTCTCTACATAACCATCTGTCGTTCCTTCGGTTTAACTTTTGGTCCAGGTCAAAGTTTTTTCTTATCGGAGAAAAACCAAAACATTTCAGCCTCTTGGTATTTTAGCTTGTTTAATTCTCTCTTGTCTCTTCCTACATGACATGACCACGTTTTTAGGTCACTATTTTGTTTTAGAAGAAATCTTGAAGCATTGTAAATCGATTCTTTCGAACTAATTTACTCCTTATGATCACAGAATCATCCGATTTTCCTCATGGGTGAATACAATTCGATAACCTTCCAGAAACTGCGAGCGTAACTCTTTATTACGAGTATTTTTTTGTATATTAGAACACTCATGAAAAAAGATCTGTAAGCTTCAAGAATATGAAAATATACAATTAAATTACTATTTAACACTTTTCAAAATAAACCGGCCATATAAAAATTAAGTTGTTTTACAATTGAATATAATTTTTAAAAAAGGACGTTGGAGGTCATGGCTCTCCACAGATTGCTTTTCTTTGATTATCTTGGAATTGCCATGACTTTTTTTGAAATATAGCGGAGTGTTTTCCTGTTGTCTTATCCACGGTTTTGAATTCAAAGTTGTCTTTCTTCTACATTGGCCGCCACCCAAACCTAGACAGTCTAGTCTACCCTGCTATTTAACTCCCAGATAGCAGGTGAGGAGATATAATTTCAGGCTTTTCCCAATGACATAATTGCGAAAGTGAACACCTCAGACTAGTCCGGAAATTGAACTCGCTCCACCAGTTCAACTTTCTGCACATCCTAATAATACCAACAGCGTAAATCGCATCACGGTCTGTTGGTTTAATTTAATAGAGTTGTAAAGAAACAATTATTGGCGACTCTTTTTGTGGTTTTTCATTGGTGATTGAATTTCGCCACCATGACAAGCATGCCTAGATTGGTGAATTCCCAGAAGGCCTTGCAAGGCATTCTTGACATTGATTACGAGTTTGCAGCGGACGAATTCCTGTAATAACTTGAACTTCGGTAGTAGTCCAAGTTCATGTACATATTATATATATATATTAAACTAGAGCCTGATTAACAAATTGAATTTAAGTTTAAGTTACCTTAAAACTGGTAAAATCATTTTCTGTATATAACACAATAAGTATTCATGTAACTATTTCTTTGTAATGTCTGGATTTGTTTGCTGTACAAACATTATTTTGCATTGACTAAGCCAAAAAGTAGTGTCTTTGTTCTGAAAATGGCGGACATTTCGGAGGTCATTACGCCACCAGTAGAAAAATATACTTAACCTATTAATACCACAGCATCATGTTTAGATGTAACAGTCTATTTTCTTCAATAACTTTAAAGTATTTTCATTAAAAGATTTTTTTAATTAATGCAGTTACTGATTTAACAGAAGTAGTCTGTATTTATTCAATCGAAGTTAGTCGAGGACATGAAGGAGTAAAACAGGCAACATGAAGATCCACTTCAAACTACAATTATTTTGGAGTTTTTGAAATTCAATTTGTCAGTGTGCTACCAGGGATTTAAAAGAGGTTACATTTATAAAGCAATTGTTAAGTTTGAGGAAAATTGGTTGGAAGATCAACGAAAAATAAGAAAGAAACCAGTAAAAATCGCCATTTATTGCTGTTTAGGCGGGTTTTCACTATATGGGTGGTCTCAATTATTAAGTTAAAGGAATGTTAAACATTCAACTTATTGTTGACTACTATTGAGTGAAGTTTATGGTAGATTGCTTGATAATTGAGGGAGTTTTTAGTTAAAATTTGTGTTGAAATCGATTTTTTGTTTTTCGCAGTTTTTCGCTAAACCCACTGACGTAGAAATGAGATATCGTTGATCTCGTTATGATGTAAGTAACCTACATACCGAGTTTAAACGAAATTGGAGGAAAAAGAGTTGAATTTATCGATTTTTGATCAGCTTTATCGATTATTGATTTTTTAAAAATTATCTATTTTTTACGCTTAGGACCTATCTCTTGTATTGTACAATATATGTGCCAAGTTTGGTCGAAATCTGTTGGATGGATTTCGATTGAAAAAGTATCAGACAGACAGACGCACCGACATCTGTTTTATGTATATAGTTAACAATCTTGTTTTAACGATTCTGCAGATTATGCACCCCCTCCCAAAATAGATTAATTGTTTAACGACGCAGATGTGAAAATCACCTCTTTATCGAGCTTACGGTGACATCCCATTAAAACACTAGTTCCCGTACGATCACCGAAATTAAGCAACGTCGAGCCTGGTCAGTATCTTGATGAGTGACCGTTTGTGAATACCAGCTTGGATTTTGAGGTGTTTTAATGAATAATGGCTGGAAATTGTTAATTGTAGAGCCGAATCCCATTAGTTTCGCTATATTCACTTACGCGCATATACCTTTGGGAAAGGTATGAATACATCTCTTCTCCGCCCAGATATGGGTTAATTAGTAAGAGATTGTATAACTAAACAATAATCTCCCAAAAAAATAACCCCCCAAAAAACAAGAAAAAACAAAAAACAAAAACAAACAAATCTCACAATCTAAAAACATTTCTGGATTTAAATAACCTGTAAAGGGTTGATAACCCATAAAAAAGGAATCAATCATCTGTTAATCGTAAGCATTTAAAAATATCGTCTGTTTTGCGTCATGAGTAAACTAGTATTTATATAAGATATGGCCATAACTGGCTGTCAGGTGAAAACAAGTGTATTACTCAATTATAGTGTTAAAGTGTACTATATTTATGGAATAAAGTGCTCAATATCAGAGATAGAGCCTATGTAAATATAAATATAAAAGTGAACACTGAAGTCAACACTCCAGACAAAATAGCCGACAGAATGGATTACCCTTTGCACCACTGACACATATATATAAATAGTCGAGAAAAATACAACACTCGCGGCATGACGATTGTGTCTAGCACGAAACAGCCTGTCGCCTCTGAGTGTTGACTTCAACTTTCAATTTTATATATATATATATATATATATATATATATATATATATATACGAACAATTATTAATAGAAAAACTTAACAAAATATAGCAACAAAGTAAACTGATTTAGAAATTCAGTCTGGAAAGCGATAAGCAAATAATATGAGGTAAAACATTTAGAAAAAAATACTTAAACAGTCGAGATTTGTCGTCAGAATGATTCATTAAAATAATATGAAATGATTCAGATACTTTAGGAGAAAATTTAAGCCTTCTTTTTTGGTTTTGTATTAAGCATATCGTATATCAAAATTTTTCATTCTAACTTTTATATATTTCTTGTTTTTATGCAGATATTAATAATGATTTCTAAAAATGTGTTTAAATAAATGCTTCATTTTTTGTAAGAGAAAATAAGACGAAAAGTCCATTTTCAGATCAAAAACGAAAAAGAAAATGGAGAGTAAGGTTTAAGAAAACGGGAGAGCAATCGGATGACATGATTGATTTTATAATAAATATCCTCAAGTTGACAGATCAATCAGTTATTGGTCAAGCAATTTTTATCTTTCGAATTTAATAAAGCCACAAAACTATTTTCTTTCAGCTTAAAACGGTGTGCTTTTTCTAAATATGTATTTACCCTCATGTCTGTATAAAAAACGCTCTAATGCCGCTAATCTCGCAGAACATTGCTAGCTAGAGAGTTCCAAAATTGTGGTCCTATGCTTAACTTTTCATATGAAGTTCGAGCCTCGTTAGGTGCTTCATCCATGGGTGAAATCAAGTTAAAATCTTGAAGACGTACCTGTACGGTAAAAAGCTTGCCTCTGAGATTAATTGTAAATTAAGTATTGGCTAGCTCCAGACCGGATATGGCAGCAATATTCCAATTTTTGGTTCAATCTAACTATTAAAAAGATAGAATATGGTAGTAGGTGTCAGGTACTTATTAGAGCGGTATAAGGAGCTGACCATTTTTCCAGCGTTGTGGAGAGCCATGATTACCCACGTTCTGAAAAGGCAGAACATATTACAACATTTAAATAACCCGGGATTGCTAAATAAGAGAAAGGAACTGATGGTCAAAGGTAAATACCTACTTAAACACATAGACCCGAATTAATTTTTCTACAGTACCACGGTTTATTTTTCAGTGTAAGATATTTTTTATTTATACACGAAATGTAGCTCTGAAGGCGGTTAGCTATCAATATTGACAACTTTTCGGCAACAACGGCCGGCCCCAAATGCAATTCCCTGTATACTATAGATCTTATTGGTACGGTCGAGAGGGGAGTATGTAGTCTGGGCAGCGCATGGCCTCCATATACCATGACCCAGGCGTACATCCTGGAGGGATCAAAGGACTGAATTTTGACCAAACAAGGCGCTAAGTTTGTCCCGCAGAAATAAATAAATAAATGAATGCCTACTTACTATATATATATATATATATATATATATATATATATATATATATATATATATATATATATATATATATATATATATATATATATATATATATATAATGTATATATATAATGTATGTATATATATATATATGTGTGTATGTATATGGCCCGTGTATATATATATATAATATATATATATGTATAATATATATATATATAACGTATATATATATATATAATATATATATATAATATATATATATGTAATGTATATATATATGTGTGTATGTGTATAATGTATATGTGTGTGTAATGTATATATGTGTGTATATATATATATGTAATGTATATATATATATAATGTATATATATATATATATGTATGTATATATATATATATATATATATATATATATATATATATATATATATAATGTATATATATATATATAATGTATATATATATATATATATGTATATATATATGTATATATATATATAATGTATATATATATATATAATGTATATATATATATATATATATCTATATATGTATATATATATATATATATAATGTATATATATATATATATATATAATGTATATATATATATATATAATGTATATATATATATATATGTATATATATATATATATATATATATAATGTATATATATATATAATGTATAAATGTATATATATATAATGTATATATATATATAATGTATATATATATATATAATGTATATATATATATATAATGTATATGGGGTATATATATATATAATGTATATATATATATATAATGTAATATATATAATGTATACATAATGTATGTATATATATATAATGTATATATATATATATATGTGTATGGTGTGTGTGTGTGTGCATATTGTGTGTGTGTATGTGTACACACACATAATGCATATATAATGCATATATATATATATATATATAATATATATATATAATAATATATATATAATGTATATATATATATATATATATATATATATATATATATATAATGTATATATATATATATATGTATATATATATATATATATATATATAATGTATATATATATATATATATATATATATATATATATATATATATATATATATATATATGTATATATATATATATATATATATATATATATAATGTATATATATATTGTGTGTATTTAGGCAGAATCTTTTCATTCATACCCGTTTCATTAAATAATATAGACAAGTGTAGTCTATTTATTTTATGTAAACTCTTTTCACAACGTCTAATAAGTTTAATAACATTATCATTGAACGAAGAAAGAAATTCACAATATTGATCCATATTTTTTAATCCAATCTAAGCTTTCGGCTCACATAAGCCATTATCAAAGATGTCAATTACAACATATTAAGCAATATACGGACAAGACAGTGATGATAGTCTGTGATTGTTTACATAGATAATTTCTAAGCAACTTTAAACACGTGCATATAAAATAAATAGACAACACTTGTCTATATTATTTAATGAATATATATATATATATATATATATATATATATATATATATATATGATAGAAATTAATTGGAGAATTTGAGATAATTGTAATTAAATTATTCATCGAGTCTAGAAAAATATATATATATATATATATATATATATATATATATATATATATATGAGATAGAATAAACTAAGAAACGAAACCGCAGGATGGTTATGGGAAGATATTATGACCTGATAATTTCGTTAGTCAATTTATCGCCCTTTCTTCTTTCCCGTCTAATGACTTTAAATAATTAACGAACAAATAAAAGCACAAAGGGTCTCCATAAAAGCGCTATCGTTGCATCGACTAATGTAAGTGACGAGTAGTTTTAACAATAAATGGGGAACTAATTTTATTGGCGCATCGAGAAATAATATCAGACCAATCAAAATTCGACCAGAGCCTCAATGAATCAAGTTTTAATGTACCCTGCCTCTGCACATAGGAGCCATACACGAACATTTTTATAGTCGCATACATTGTCTGGATGTAGACAAATGCATAATTCTGTGATAACGCGTCAATGTCTCGTCCTATTCGAGACTTGGCTTTGCAATGAACTTAATATTGTAATTTTTTGTTAACGAACAAATTCGCCATATTAGCAGATATTTTAGCAGATATAAAATGACTAAAAAATATATGAAAAAATAAAAGATATGTGAAAAAAATATATGAAAAAATCCGTCTCTTTCTTTCCCCCTCCTCTTGTCTCTTAATTTTTCTTTCTATTCATCTCCTCTCCTTGTTTCATACTTCACACACTTTTCTCTCTACTCTCTTTATCTCTCCTTTTTTCTCCTGTTACCCTTACCTGCTCACTTATCATCACCCCTCTCTCCGTTGTCTTTCCCGCTATCTCTCTTCTCTTCTCCTTTCAATAAGATTCTTACTTCTGTCCATATCCCTCTCTATTACCTCCCTTTCTTCTCGCCTCCCTTTTCTTTTACTGTCCTCTACGATCTTTCTTTCTCTCTCTTTTCTCGTTTATTTCTTCCTCTTGTGTCTACTTTCAGCCACTCTTTGTTCCTCTATTTCCTCTCCTTTTATCTCCTTTCTCTCTCCCTCCCTCCCCCTCACTTTCTTTAGTTAACTTTCTTTCTCTCTCTAGTACATCAGTTCCTCTTTCTTTCTTTCTTTCTTTCTTTCTTTCTTTCTTTCTTTCTTTCTTTCTTTCTTTCTTTCTTTGTCTATCTCCCCCCCCCCACTCTCTTTGAATGTCTTCCTATAAAAGTTAGAGATCTAATGGAATCATTTTAAAAGCAGAAGCTTATGAATTGAGAAAAACACTGTCTTGTGGGACACAAATCGTCCGACCATCGTTTAACATGTCGACTGTTTCGTGTTTAAAAAAGTCTCTTCTATACCAAATACAAGTGCCG